CACGTCAGCGCGTTCTCGGCACCCCCGGCACCGGTAATATCCGTCCCTCCCTCGGCCCCATTCCCGAACCTTCTCCCGTTCCCATACAGCGGTGCCGCTTCCTCCCGCGGCGTCCAACACCCTCCCGTCGCTGTTCTCGACGATGCCCACGATATCTCGCCCATTCCTCCATCAAATTTCCCCGTTTTTTCTCTTGTTGAGCTTAGATAGGTAGTCTCATATGATATATTGTACTTTTACTAGGTATTTGTGAATACATGTTCCCCTTGTCGCGTCCCAGTAGCCTTGGTTGTTGCATAATCACCCAAAATGGGTATATCACTGCCACTGCACGTGGCCGAGCCGGCGGAGTTCTCGATTCTGTCTTATTTTAGCTTTTCCTATTACACCCCGCATATCCCCGTTTCCTCCCGGAATTCCACGTGGCCAAACATGCGGAGTTCCGCAGCAACGGCTCGCTTACTTCTGACTTCTGACTCCCGCGTTCTCCCCGCTTACACCCGTCCTCACTCCCTTCCCTTTCTCCCTTCCCAATCCCTCTCAACGTCGCCGTCGTCGTCCAGCACCAGCAGCTCGTAAGTCTCCCCCTCTCCCTTCTCGTTGTCTCTTGGCTCACTGTATTTCTAGGCTATGCCCAAGACCGCTCGGTACTCGGTGCCGGGTGTGTCCTCAAAAGTCAACTCTTATATTGGCGCCAGAAAGCGACAAAGCTTACCAACGAGCGGGGTACATCGTCGTCGTCAGGAGGCTGAGGCCCTGCGTCGTATCGCAATGCGAAGTACGTCCCTCATTTTCATGATTTTTTTCAACGGAGAATCCTGACTGAGAAGGGTAGATATGACATTCGAAGAGCGGGAAGAGTTCGAAAAGGAGGCGGCCCCCATCACATCCTCCCTTAACACCACGCCTCCTGACGAACCCATGGATATGGAAGACGCCTTACCCGCAGTAGGAGATGAAGGCTTCACGCAGAGCCATGCCGGCGGAGAGTTCGAGTTGTATAACGAACTCAAGGCTATGCTTGAGGAGCCCCGGTAAGTCTAATCAAAGTTTCTTGCCTATACTGACCATTCTTCATTATAGCACGCAGCGTTACGATGGTCGGGACCGCTCGGATCGCGTTAAAACCACAGTCCAAGCATGGGAATCCATCTACGACACCCTCACCGACGCCTTCCTTGAGTGGCAGTATCGCCCTCTTCTCGCCAAGGCCTCGGACTCCACTCTATCAATGTTCCATCGGAACTTCGCCCGATCCCCTGCCTCTCCGCCACCTTCGCCCGACACATCGCCTCAGTCGTACCCTCAAGAATCGGAGGCGGATAAGGAGGCGACACCTTCAACGTTCAACATTCAGGTCGTAGACATGTTTGGTGAGTATGCTTATTCATAAATGTATTCGTCACTAACAGTATTCTATATCTAGAAAACGACATCTTCGAGTTCATACACCTCGCACCTCACCTCAACATCAGCCTCGTTCGACACGGAGTCCTCGGCTGCTCTCCCATCCAACCCACCGTTGCGGTCACTCTCCGCTCGCTCGAGGCGTTCCGACAAGCTCACCGCGTATGTCCTCGCCTGAGCATTCATGCTCAGGCCAAGATGCTATGTCACCTCCATCGGGTGAGTCGTTCATTTCACTACCCACCCCCGCCTGACTCATTCAAACAGGTCCCCTATCGTCCGTATCTCGCTCGACAGTTCAGGGACGCCTATGACGTGTACCTGGAAATAACGCGGCGGATCGATCAGCGCGTTGGTGCCGCCCTCAACCATGTCGGCCCGAATTGGCGAATGCTGAACTCATGCCCGGCCTGCCAGTATCGCCTTCGCAATGAACCCCCCCTCACCTTCAGTATGATGTGTGCCATGGACGGCAACAATTCTCTGAAGCTCGTCGATCCTAAGGTTCGCTCTGGTACCGAGCGCTTCGATCCTCGCTGTGGTCAGTCCGACATCTGGCTTAGCGAGACCTTTGTCGATGGTTTCAAGGATGAAGTCAATGCCGCTCAGTCCGCCTCTCCCCCGCAAATTGATCCCGGCGATCCGGACTCCGAGACATCGGATTTGCCTTCGGATAGTGCGGGCGAACCCACGGATGCTTGCATTGACAGATGGCGCAACGCGGCCCCTGAGTCTCGGAAGAAGATGTTCGCTGTATTCAAAAAGTCTGGCATCTTCGTCTCGTTCTGCCGTCATGGATTCCTCCTTACCATCTGCGACATGGTACGGAGCGGGGAACTGTGAGTATCCTCATTTCTCCATGAGCTTTGCTGACATTCGCACAGGATGAAGTACCCGCTGGCAACCATCAAAAAACTCCTTGACGTATTCGGGGACGACGTGTGCTTCGGGTACGACATCAAATGCCGCTTTTTCGCCATACTTCTCCGCAGCTCTCTAGGCCCCCAGGCAATCGCACAACGGCTCCATGGTGTAGTCCCCGCTTTTCACGGTCACGCACATAACAGGTATTGCCAACTTAATCATTTCTCGAAGTATACTACTGGGACAGGCAAAGAAGACTTCGAAACTTCCGAGCGCGTCTTCTCGGAGTCAAATGGAGTTGCCGCATTGGTTCGTTTCACAACCGAGTTCCACCGCCATCAAGACATCGATGAATTCTTTCATTTCTCGGATTCCGAGAAGTACGCAAACCTCGGTGAGCTGTCAGGTCAAGTAATTGTATAGGTTCTGACACAATCCTCAGCTAAATTTGTCTACAACAACTATGTCCAGGCCACTTCAATTATCAAGTCCCACCACTCTCGCATGGCCGCGCTCTCGATTTCACCTCCGATGACTGCGGCGCAGTTCGACGCCGACCTCGTGGAGGAGCGGGAATATTTGAAGAGGGTCCATGGGAAGCGGGAGGAAGATAGTGCGGAGCTCGACTACGTTGTAGCGCTTGGCGAATTGGACGCCGCCCAGTAAGTGTTCGCTTCTCACCCCGAAGCCTAAGCTCATCATCACCAGGGCCGGATATAACGCCGCCTTCGTTGCGCACAAGAACATCGACAACAGCATCATTCACGAGGGCTTCACGCGCAAGGAGATCAGCAACGTCAACCGCCAATTCACCCTCGCCTACAACAAGCTGAACCTCCAGCTCCGTCACGTCGAAGAAATGGAGCGCTCGTTGAGCATTGATCCTGACGCGCGATGGGGTAGTGATAACGCGCAGCGGGCACGCATACAGAAGCGCATCGCCAATCGCCTCTTTTACAAAGCGGCTGATGACGTGGAGCGCCTCGTGGCGATGCGTCTGATGGAAATGACGAAGCTGCAGATGAGCGGTCTCGGTACGCCCTCCTGCCCACTCGCCAAGCGGTTTTTAACTCACACGTGCTAGGGTACAAATTACGAACTCAGATATCCAAGGCCCTCCGTACACGGGCGACCGCTATCCGCAATGCTATCGACAGGTACAACAAGTACGCTGCCGAGCTCGACCCTCCCGCTGAGCCGTTGGATTGGGACAAAATCGCTGAGTATTCTTTTCTCAGTGAGTTTGATGTTCTGCGGGAGACTGACGCCGACATCCATACGAAATGGTGGGCAAAGCCGGTGGTTCGCCAGGCCGCGCTGCTGCATTACGACTATGTCCGTGCGCAAGAGGAGATCACGCGTTGCCATGTCGAGATCAAACGTCTACTTACTAAAATCCGCGACGATGAGCTAGATTACCCCGCGGCCATCAAACGATTGGCCGAAGCTAACTCACCATTAACAGCTGAGCTCGAGAAACGATGGGAGACATTACACGGCGTCAATGTCATGCTGCTCGTCCGCATTCAGCAGATGCAAGCTCTGCCGGGGTATTCAGGCCCCATGGGTCCGGGTGTGCGCGTTGGTCGTGAGGTGCCGGGGTCATCAGATAGGCAAGGCAGGACGGTGGAGGATCATGACCTTGGGACTCAAACTGTTGACGACGAGGAGGGAGACATGGTGCAGGAGGAAGCCGACGTGAACTTGGGCGATTTTTTCGACGGTATGCATTTGGATGATTAGCTACATTTATAGTACATCATAATGAGGATTTGACCTTCTGCTCAACAAAAATGCGTGATTGGAAAGAATGTGGAAGTGCTTTTGTCTAAGGACGTCATACGAGCACACTGATCATCAAGTCGCAATTTCGAACATAGCAAGTGCTTGCTGAATGCCTTACTATTATTATAAACAAAGACTAGTACTCTGAGCATGTTCTATTCGTAGTCATAGTTGGTCGTACTCATAGCATAAACCTAGAAATCAGCAAATAGTTGACACGAGATGGCGAGCGATATCTGAACATAAGGTACATACTGCGCGAGGATGCCGCATGGCAGCCGCGCGTGTGGCAAGATAATCACTGAAAAGTCGCGACTTGCAACGCTACACGCCCATTCCTCACTCAGCATCAAGCCATGACACCTTGGCGTGCCACACCCTATCATCACGTCCCGACCGTTGACGGTCTCAATGCCATGGAGCGTATTTTCCGCCCGCCTGACGGCTTGGCAGACATTGACGACATCGGTAAACGTTGGGAGGCCCTTCTTCTCACTATGTCATGCTTTGATCTACACCGCGACGGAGACCACCTCACAGGCATTCCCGCCTTCCACCCTGTCACTCTCTTGCATTACCGTCTCGGAGCATCCCGACCCATCAGAGCTACGGAGGAGGTTAGGAGGGCCAATTTTGAAGCAAGGTCGACACATGTTGAGAGTATACGACACCTTATTCACGATCTCGTACGTCTGTTCCAGGTCGCACTCTCCATTTGCTTTAACATTCCATAGATCACTGCACTAGACCGCCTCACTGGTGGGGTCTCTCTCTTCTTGCATCATCCCGGGGCTGTCAAGCAGAACAAGAATGTCGAGCCCGAGAATCTGCGAGTGTCCTCATACCTCAATCCTCGGTTCCTCGCGTTACATCCTGAAGCTCACATCACCATCGCCGAACTAGCGCAAACTTTCATCGAGAACGTTGCCTGCGCCAACGCCAAGGACTTCCGCGACCTGCGTTCCCAACACTGCTGGCCAGACAAGGGCTTTAGCGATGAACCGAGTGTCGTCAACTTTACATCCCTCCCAATCATTCCCAAACCTTCTGCTAGCTCCAACAACCGGTTTGTATTCCAAGGTCGTCCACGCGGTCAGCTCTCCGACTCTCTCCTCTATTCGACTACCAAACCCCCTCTGTTTACCTTCCTTCCTGAGCTCAACAACCAGCACGACATCTGCTGGAACTCTCTCGACTTCAGTGGGCCTTCATCAACTTCTCAATTCTATTTACCACCTTGCTCGCCTTCCTCTCCCGCGCATTCACTTTCACCTATCCCTGTCGTCACTCCTATCCACCCCTCAGTACCGGTGCATTTGTCATCTCCTCCCAACGTCGAGACTAGGTGGCAGGCCCCTGTTCAACTAGATGACAAGGCAAGCAAGCGTATCGGCAAGATGAAGTCCGGGCCGGGTTTCGGTGACAGCGACCGCGTCGCTCTTCAGGGTAGCGTATGCGTACACTTTGCATTACCTCCGTCTTCTCCGGTGCCCCCGATTTCGTTGTCATGTCCAGGCTCTGGCGAGCCCAGTTCATCCGCGTCCAGCGCTCCGAATCCTCGGTTTGGAGCCGATCAGTATTCCGTCATATTACCATTCGGCCTGTGCACGGCAGCGGTTTTGGACGACCTGTCTCTCCCCGACTATATGCACAATGTGTGCGTTGAGCTGTTGAGGGATTACCTCCCATCCAAGTGGCAGGCTGCTCTTGAAGTAGCATTTCCCAACCTATTGCCTGATTATGCAGGCAGAATAACCCAGGCTATGTTTTATGACACACAGCTCATTGTTGACCTTGATACAGCCGATGAAGAAGCTTTAGCCGCTGACCCTTGATACGCGTCCCTTTCCTCGTCAATCTAGATACCTTAGTCACAGTTGAATAGCATAATTCAATCTTTATATTTAAGGTGGACTGTGTTCAGCGAGTTCAACAGCTCCTCCCGCGCGTCCAGCTAAATCATGCCAAAACTGTTACTAAGTCACATGCGCCGCATGCGCGGTCGCGTCCGCGGTCCACGCCCAGCCTTGCCTCCCGAAACCCAACGTGTCCACCGCGCGCGCCAGCGGTTGAAGAAGAACGCCGAAGATAACGACATCGACGAGCTCATTGACTACATTGACGAGCAGATCCTCGCTCTTGCTATCAAGTACAAGAAGAGTCGCTCCTACTTCCGGGGTCTATTCTACCAAGAGGCCAGTATGCGACGCCGCCGCAACCAGAAGACGAGCTCTTGGTCGGCGTTCCTTTTTTTCCAAGCTCTTCTAGAGAATAACGGTGAGCCTTCGAATTCCTGCCCGTATATCATTTAGCTAATGTACTATAATCTCAGGCAAGGACTTCAAAAATCGCGCGAACGTGGCCAGTCTAGCGGGAGCCAATGCCGTGTACGCCCAGCTCACCGACGACAAGCGTTGCATCCTCATCGCAGAATTCGACAAGATCAAGCTCCAAGCTCCCAAGAAAGCGCCCAACCTCACTCCGCGGGCACGGTTGGCGGAGGTCTCGTCGAGTTTTATATCAGTTGCTCAGGAGGTATGTTTAAAGCCTCCCTCCTTGTCGTTGTCTATACTCACTTTCTATACAGCTTGATGCCCTCTCCGCCCGCCACGACGTTCACGCTCTTCTTGTACTCACTCGTGGGTCCCTTGAGTTCGCCATGTCACCAAAGGTCTACACATCTAGCAAGGGGATCAAACAATATTTTTGGGTGAATTTTCGGTGCGATCTCGACGAGTTTGCTGGGAAGATGGAGGGCAATATGATTGCCAAGATCCGGAGCAATCGTAAGTTTCTCATTCTTCAGTCTCGCTTTTTCGTATATCTAATTCCCTCAAGGCAAGAAGTGCAAGCACGACGACAGGAAAGTGATGGCGAAGATGCAGATTCGTATGGGACTCAATCAGGCTCTGGGTGAGTAGTTACAATTCCTTCCCTTTCCCCCTTACTGACGTCTTTATTATAAGTCGAGGCCACCAGTGACAACGGCGCCACGATGGAGTACAAGCGCTACGAGTCGGCCATCGTCCGCAGGTACAACGTCAAGCTCGTCGGCTGGGAGCACGACGAGTGGACTAACCCGAGCTACCTAAAGGGCGGGCTCCCTGTCCTGGAGAAGCTGGCCGACGACGTTACCTCCGGCAAGTGCCAATTCATCAAGGTCACGCCCGAGGAAATCGAGGAGCGCATCCGATGTATCGAGACAGGCGAGGCAGTGACCCCCAATTGCGAGCCACGGCTGCCTTCGGCGCCTCAGTCCTCCATCTCCCCTGCTGACGCCCCAGCTCCTACTCTGCCCGACGCCTCCGCCTCCGCCGCTGATACTCCCGCGGAGCCACCTGTGTCCACTGAGCCCCCGCCGGACGAGGCGCAGTCCTCGGATCCTCCAACTTCGCTCGAGGTACCCGTCCCTGACGTCGTGGCAGCCATCTTCGCCCGCGTTTTTGGACGGCAGCCCTTGTCTTCCCCTTCTTCATCATCTCCCTCGGCCTCAGCGCCCATTCCACTACCGTCGTCCTCCACCGAGAGCGTCACCGCACAAGTGCAAGAGGGCCAGCCGGATGAGGCCTCAGCCTCCAATGACACGACTGAAGGCTCCTCGTCTATGAGGAAGCGCAAGCGCCGACAGCCGACCGATGCTGCCAAAGCCCCTCCAGTCAAGTGCACAAAGCCTGCCGACAAGTCGGCTGGGATGGATAAGCCGGTGAGGAAGTCGCGCGCGAAGAAGGGGCCAGATGTCATCCCGCCGGACGCAGACGCCTGATATGTACTCTATGATCTTCATTGTTTCACTATACACGCAATATAACATATTACGCCTCGCAGCACTTGTACTACTATGTCAGAATGGGCTTCAGCATCGTCAGCAACAGCGATGACGAAGGTTTCGGCTGTTTTACTCGCCATACCTTGCATAATAGAGTTGGCCAATCATGGAGAGGCATTTCGGGCCGAATAGCGGCGGAATCACTAGTCAACCCAATTGATAGAACCGCGAAATGAAGGAAAGAACTTTCCAGAAGGATTCGGAGGCTATGCTTCCCCAAAGCCGATATCACGGAGTTAATATGCTATTCATTCGCTCAGCTGGCCAATGGGATTCTGAGAAAAGGCTTCTCCCCAATTGGTTCCTGTGCCTGGCAACAAATATGGTAGTAGCACCGACACAGAGTCTATATACAGAAGTCAGAACAAAAGGATCATATACTAAGTGGGCTTTTGTGAGATAGGGGGTAAACTTGGTATATACATTGCATTGGACGATTAAACTGGTCTATTATGGGTGTTGGGGACGATGACAGCGACATTGAGAGGGATTGGGAAGGGAGAAAGGGAAGGGAGTGAGGACGGGTGTAAGCGGGGAGAACGCGGGAGTCAGAAGTCAGAAGTAAGCGAGCCGTTGCTGCGGAACTCCGCATGTTTGGCCACGTGGAATTCCGGGAGGAAACGGGGATATGCGGGGTGTAATAGGAAAAGCTAAAATAAGACAGAATCGAGAACTCCGCCGGCTCGGCCACGTGCAGTGGCAGTGATATACCCATTTTGGGTGATTATGCAACAACCAAGGCTACTGGGACGCGACAAGGGGAACATGTATTCACAAATACCTAGTAAAAGTACAATATATCATATGAGACTACCTATCTAAGCTCAACAAGAGAAAAAACGGGGAAATTTGATGGAGGAATGGGCGAGATATCGTGGGCATCGTCGAGAACAGCGACGGGAGGGTGTTGGACGCCGCGGGAGGAAGCGGCACCGCTGTATGGGAACGGGAGAAGGTTCGGGAATGGGGCCGAGGGA